GCGCGCGGGCCGGCAGCGGCGAGGCGCTGGCAGGCGAGCGCGCCGGCGAGCACACACCAGACCGCCGCGGCCCGCGCGCCGGCCTCGGCGCCATCCCCCTCATCTCCCCGCGCCGCCCCTGCACCACCCTCCGCGCCGTCGCCAGCCCCGCCGCCTGTGCGCAGAAACGACAGGTTGAGCCGCACAATGGTGCAGCCCGGGGCTGACAGCATGGCGGTGACACTGCGGGCGCCCGGCGGGCAGAGGCGGGCGCCGGTGAGGTCGAGGACGCGCAGCTGCCCGGAAGCTGCCGCAGCCGGGCAGACGGCCTGCGAGAAGGGGATGTTGCAGGGGCGCCGACAGGGGCACTGTTTTGATCGCGCGGGCGACGGCGTCTTGCTGCCAGAAAGGCGCCCTCGCGGGCCATGCAGGCACGCGCACCCAGCGCAGCCCGCGCCGCGCCTGGCCGCACGCCCTTGCGCAGCCGCGCCTAGCAAGGCGCCGCCGCCGCCGCTGGCGCCGTTGCAGGCGGCGGCGCCGGCGCGCTGCAGCGGGCGCGCCATCGACGCGGCCGAGCCCCGCTGCGCCCTGGACCCTTTGCGACCGGACACTTTGCTGGCAAGCCACATCAGCCTGCCCAGCCCTGCGCCCGGCTGCCGCCCCCTCACGCCCACTGCCCGCGAAAAAAATCCCGGGCATCATAACGCGCCTTCGGCATGCAATTCTTATGACTCACCGCCAGCTGCTCGTCTGTCAGGCCGCAGTTACCCAGGTCCAGCTCCTCCAAGCGGCACCCGTCACCCGCCAGCCACCCCGCGAGCGCGGCCGCCGCTGCGCCCGTCACCGCGTGGCCGCGCAGCCGCAGCACCCGCAGGCCGCTGGCGCGAGCGCGGAGCGACGCGCAGAGCGCCCGCACGCCGGAACCGTCGCCGGCGCCGTCGGACGAGTCGGCGCCGCGCGGCGGGCGCCGCCGTCGCTCTTCGAACTCTCGCCGCTCCGATGCCAATCCTCGGAAGCCCCCACTGCCGCGGCCGCTCCCGCCTACATTCTCATCCCCTTTGCCGACGGCCTCGTCGCCGCCGCAGCCGCCATCTGCGCAGCCACCGTCCCCGCGCTGCAGCCCGGCCGCTTGCCGCACCGCGCCCGCGGCGTCCCACCGCACCTCCAGCCGCTGGCGCTGCAGGGCGTGGCCGCGGGGCCAGGCGTGCGCCCAGTCGCGGGGCAAGGCGTCGCGCGACGCGGAGTGACGTCAGTATGACGTCATGCGGCCTGTGGAAGCTTGGCCCGCACCAGGCGTACGACCGGCTTTTCTCCCCTTCCCCTGGCATAAAAAAAGTACAAGTACGCCTTACACTGTCACAATGATGCTGGCCCGGCTTGATCCTGAAATTTCAACTCCCCCAAGCCCCACTCAACCCACAGCCCGCACCATCATTTGGCTGCCCTGCCCGAGGCTCAGGTCGAGCACCTGCAGGCTGCCGCTCGCCGCCAGCCCCGGCGCCAGCGCGGCCAGCGCGGCGGGCGAGAGCTCGCAGGCGGCGAGGCTGAGGGCGCGGAGGCGGGGGGACCCGCCCAGCGCGGCGCCCAGGTCGGGCAGCTCGTCAACCTGGGAGAGGAGTCACCAGGGTTATGTGACCACTACTAAACCAGTGCGTTCCGGCCGCCGATGTGGGAGCTGGAGAGTCCTAGAGAGCAGCCCGGGCTGCCAACTAGCCAACGACCCCACTGCCTATGCCAGGCTGCGCGCGAGGACGGCCCATCGAGGCACATCGAGCGGTGCAGGGGGAGCGCGTTGGTGCAGGTGTGAGCTGGGCCAGGG